TTTTGGATTCTCTGAAGCCAAAATAAAAGAAAAATTATTTGAGAAGTGGACTGAGTGCTGAGTAACTCTTTTCCTCTTCAATGATGTATCTTAAAACTTAAAATAGTCATTTCTCCTATTTTGTAATATGTCCTATTTCAGCACACCAAACACTAAATGAAGTTAATAGATTATATATAAATGCCAAGACAGGTAATAATTTACATGTTCTCTTTTGTATATAAAAAAATCAATGTTGTATATTATAAACCCTACAGAATGCTGACACAGAAAAATCCATGTTCAAATCAGTTTTTGTACAGATAAATGACCTCTCATGTAAACCAGACAATAATTAGCCAACATATTTTCTGATTTATATTTCTAAACTAGAACCTACAGAAGTAGATAAGCTGTGACAATTTTAATTTAAAAAATATAATTACAGATGAGATAAGCTTTAGGAAAATATTTGAAAGACATTTTTTGTTTTGCACTGAATACTTTCTAACTTAGAAAATAAACTCATTACTTTAGACTAAGTAAGCAAGGCTTATATGTTCTTGATAGCATTTAAATTTTGCTAATAGCAAGAAATAGTTGAATTACTGAAAGCAAGAACAAATATTGTACACTTATAAAGTCTTTTCATATATGCCTAAATTTTATAACAACTTGGGTAGGCAGAGCTGAGACCAGGTATGAGTATCCTTGTTTTACTGAAAAGAAAATTGTGTTTCCCAAAAGATAGATGATTGACATTGTCCCAGGTTCCAACAGAGTGGAGTTCTCTGTTATTTAATTCACGGTCACTAAGTCTTTATTTAAGATGACAGAGCATGACATTCAAGTAGGAAGGCATCATTGTTCAACTTCTTATGAGTTAACCACGAGGTATCATCTCAGACAAGCACAGGCAACCCTGCCTCCAGGATTTTCCTAAACCACTCCCCAGGTTGGAGACCTCATTTCTGCAGCTGATCACTTTGGGAATGATGCCCAGCTCAGGCCAAACATGTGTCAATTACAATGGAGTTTCTGGAAAGGATGCAAGAAAATTTTTCCTGTTGAGCTTGGAGTTCTCTCTTGGAAGAGGTAGAAATTACTGACATAGTAATGTTATCTAGTAAAAAGGATATAAAAATAGCTTACATATATAACTTTGTAGGTATTAACAGATTACTTGCTCCTCCAAGAGGAGGATATGAGAGCTCCCATTTCAAACTAATGAGATGAGAGGGGAGGGGAGGCAATAGCCCCGGTTTTATTTTGCCAACTTTTTTGTTGTATTTGTTTTTCTGCAATTAACCCAGATTATCCCCTCCTGAATTTTTGGTTTAAGAAATGAAATACTACAGTTACAGCTTTCTCCCATTTCATTTCCATCCCTCTATCTCCAGGAGGACTAATATTGTGAAGCTGATGTGTATTTTTCCCATTCATATATATATCATTAAAATTAGTTACTTGATTTTCCTCTTTTGTGAAATTTCTGATCCTGTCTTTCATCCATTTTCTTTCCAGTTAGTCTTTTTTTTTTTTTTTCCTTCAGTTTGTACGTGTTTATGTAGATATTAGATACTAGTCCTTTTTTCTAAGTTGCAGGACAAAAAGCAAATTCCAAAGATCTCTGTGGAATGTGGTTTATTTGACAGAAAATGATAAAATGGTGGTAAAGAACCTCAAGTTTACAGCAGGCTTGTGTGTTCCCACATTACCTGCACCTCTCAGTCCCAGACAAGTGTGTCCCAAACAGGTATACTGCTGGGGGGCATCTTAGCAAGCCCCCTTGAGAATTTTATCAATGTATGTGCACATCAATATAAATAATTACTTTGTTATGATTACTTATATAACAATAACTCAGCTCTAAGCAAGTGGTCTGGATGCGTATTTTATATTTCCAGTAGACAGTTGTACCACAGTAGACTAATGTACCATAACACCAGTGTGTGTCCTTAACAGACTGACTTGAGCTAAGCTTTCCTCTCACTAGTAGCCAGCTTCCCATCTCACTCCTCCTATCCCACAGTCTGCTCCCACTTGTGGCTTGATTTTAACTTTGCTGATGTTGTCCTTATTGATTCAGAAATGTAAAATTTTAAGATAGACATACTTATCATTATTGTTTTTTATACTTTTGCTTCTTGAGTCTTACTTATGAAATATTTCTCACTCTAATGTCATAATATTTTTCTAAAGTTTTTTCTCAAAGTTTTAAATGCTTAGGATTTACATAAAGGTTTTTAATCTGAAATGTTTTTTATATAAACTATGAAGAAGAAAACCTAATTTTATTTTTTCCTATATGGATTGTCAACTTTTTCAGTTACATTTTTTTCAGTACAATTTTTATGTTCTTTTTACTCTAGTCCAACCATTTCTATCATGTGAGGGCAGTTCTCTTGTTAGATCAAATTTCCACATCAGTTTATGCACAATTCCCTCTTTTCTGTTGTATTTCCATTTGTCTATTTGGCCAACCCTACACCAACATCAGGCTATTATATTATTGTAGCTATATAAGCCTTAAGATCTGGTGAGATACAACCGGTAGCTCTACAAACTAAAGTCTCTCAGATTTTGTTTGTAGGTTTATCTCATCGACAAATGACACCAACTTTATTTCTTTATGTTCATTTTTTCTTGTCTTATTTTATTATTAAGTACTTTCAGTACAGTGCTTATAGAAGAAGTAGTCCATGTTGTGTTCTAATGTTTGATATATTGACATTGTTTGCTGTATTTTATTAACATTTATTACATTAAGGAAACTTCTCTATAGTTTGCTAAGAGTTTTAGTAAAGAATGATGATTGAATTTAACCAAATGTTTCTCCTGAATCTGTTGAGATAAATATCTTTGTTTTTCAATATCTCAATTTCATAAATTATTTTTAAAGTGTTGTAAATGTTAAGGTATCCTGGCATTCCTGGGACATAGCCCTATTATGTGCTATATTTAAAAAACAACAACAACAGGTGGTGTTGAATTTGTCAGGATTTTCTTTGGGATTACTGAATATAAGTGTATAAGTACTAAAAAATCACTTTATTATAAAAACTTGTACTACCATTTCCACAAAGGGACAGCCTTTCCCTATTAATTACTGCATTCCCTACTCTATTCTTTTCTTCATAACACTTATCATCTGACAGTAGATATTTATTTGTTTATTGCCTATCTTCCCAAGAAAATATAAATTCAGTAAGAGCAGACCTTTATTTTGCTCACTAGTCTACCCTACGTTATTTGGGCAGAATATATGTTTACTGAATTAATTCATGTAATATAATTAATTAGTGTATATAAATGAATAATGTAATATATAAGTAAATAAGCCTATACTTTTTCTGTCATTGTCTGATTTTGATATTAAGGTTATTCTGGCTTGATAAAATAAATTGTGTAACTATCAAACATGTTGTATAAATGTATATTTATTCCAGATATTGTGTATATATGTATACGTATTTCTTTGGATTTGTTATGGCCTAGTGTTTTTTTGTGGGTAGATCATGATAAATGCTTTGATTTCTTTAATGTTACACTTCTATTTAGGTTTCTAAAAAATTTCTTCTTTAGTTATTTTTGGTAGTTTGTATTTTTCTATAAAATTATTCTTGTGTACATTTTCAGATTAATTGGTATATTAGTTTACTATTGCTGTTGCAACAAACTGTCACAAACTTAGTGGGTTAAAACAACACAAATTCATTTTCTTACAGTTCTAGCGGTCAGAAATCTAAATGAGCAAGCAGGGCATTTTCCTTACCTTTTCCAGCTTCTGTAGCTTGCCAACAGTCCTTGGCCCGTGGCCCCACTCCAGCCCTCTTGCCTTCCCCTGTGACTTCAAGGACCCACCTGGGTAGTTCATGCTAATCTCCCCACCTCAAAAATCTTTAACTAAACCACAACTACAAAGGGCCGTTTGCCAGTTTCACAGGTACGGAGAATTAGGATGTGGACACCTTTTGGAGGGCCATTAGTCTATCGACTACAGCTGGCATCAGATTTGTCATTGTATTTTATCCTCTCTTAGATGTTGCCTTTTTACATTTAAGAATGTGTTTATTTCTTCCAGTGTCACTTTCTCTCTCTTAATTTGTCTACAGTAATGACTACACCCTGACAGCTGTAGCAGGAGAGTGGGGTTTATTATAAAGGTTGGAAAGGCATGGTCAGCTATGCTGAGAATTTTGTTCAAGTTAATTTTCCCCTACTTATTATTTCCCACTACTTCATCAAACAAAACTACTTTCATGTGCTCTGGATGGTTCTCAGTTAACCCCTGGTCGGGTGCTTAACTCAGCATAATGGTGGATACTGAGCATTCTCACTCTGCATCCCACTCTCGAAACCGCTCGTTCTCTGATGGAAACCTCCGAGCTTCCTTTCTCTCCCGGAATACCTAAGGAGGTGAGCGCCTCCCTCACCTCGCCCTGGGGCCGGGGGCCGGGGGCCGGGGGCCGGGGGCCGGGGCCTGCGCACCGGCGCGGCGGAGGCGTAGCGCTCAGTTGGGTCTCTCCTCCTTCTCCCGACTCCCGGACCGGTCCGGCTGGTTCCTACCTCTGGGGAATTAACACGTCCCGCCCTTCCCTAGCCTCCAGCAGCGCAGGCTCTGCGCCTCCGCCCTTGCTCCCTCCCGGCTCCCAGCTCGGAGGAGTGAAAGCCGCTACAAAGGGCTTGAATGAAACGTGTGTAGGATTAGCGAGTCGTAAACCACCCGGGGATGCGTCTCCCACAAACCAGCATCTCTGCGAGGAGGCCGAGGAGGGGGAGGAGGAGGGAGCGGAGCGCTCGGTGTCGCGGGCGCGCGCAGCGGCTGGAGCTGCGGGGAGAGGCCAGGCCACCTCCCCCTTCCCGGCCTTGCACCGCCTCACCCGCGGCGGTTCCAGGCACCACACTCTCCGCCCGGGCTGCACCCGCTGTCGCAGCAGCAAGCTCCTGTGGTCGCCGGCACCATCCGCGGAGAAGCAGCGCCCGCCCTTCCCACCCCCTCCACCGATTCCCTTGTTTGCGGGGACACACCGCCCAGCAGCCCGCGCCTCCCCCTGGTCAACTTTGAGCAGGAGGAGAAGCAACTTTGACAGTGGCTGCGGTTTTCGAAGCCCGCTTCTCCTCGGCAGCGGTAGCCTCGCAAGTGGCTGGGGTCAGAGAGCAAGAGTTTCCTGGGCGCAGCTGTACAGCGTCTGGCTGTTTTGCAACCTGTTTCCAGGGAGCGCGGAACGGGCTTGCAGCTCCTAGTCATCGTAAGGAGGTGAACTTTCCCCTCAGCTCACCTCGGCCAGCTACTGGATAAAGCAGCATCGAAAGGATGTAAATAGGCAGAGCAACCGTTACCAAGAAGGCAACCACCCAAAGGCAGGGAGGAGCGTGGGGCTTTTTCCGGGCTTCTCCCAGTCGCAACATTAATCAACAGTCAGGTGTTGGTTGCAACTTTTCAAGGTCAGCCACCAGGAGCAGAGAGTCCCTTTCTGAACCTTGGGGATACGCAGCGCTCGGGCTGGATTTGGCTGAGAAATGCACAGGACGCCAAACGAGGAAGGACTGTAGCGCCGGAGGGTTGTGACCCCCAGGACCCATCCCCCAACCTCCCCGTAATCTCCCGTCCCCCGCTGCCCCGGCGGCGGTATGTGACATGTGTCTAACTCTCAGCAGCAACTTAGGCAGCAGGTGTCGGTCCTAAGCAGGAGCCGCGGCGGCCGGGTGCATCCTCACCGAGTCATGCGGGGCCAGGGCGCGCTTCTCGCCCGCACATCGCGGTTGCTGCTTCTGCTTCTGCTCCTGCTCGAGGTGTCTGCCTCTCCTGCTCTCGGGTCCACCTCTGCTCCCAGGAATGAAACTTGTCTGGGGAAAAGCTGCTCACCTACACTGAGCCAGCGTCGCAGCAGGGACGCTTGGGGACTGGGTAATTCTTCAGGAGACCTGCTAACCCATGCATCTAGGGAGGGGGGGCAGGAAGCAGCAGCGCGCGCGGTGCCCCTGTGGGACCTGCCGACGGCAGGGAGCGGTGACCCAGGTGCTGGCAGAGGGGCGCAGGCGTCCGCAGCGGAGCGTGCGGGACCTCCAGCCAGGCCACCTGGCACCTGGAGTTTGAAAGGTACCCAGGATCAGGAACCCCCTGGAACTTTGGAGAGAGGGAACCCCACAGCTCTCCAACTCTTCCTTCAGACCTCAGGGGAAAAGGAGAAGGGTCCTAGAGGCGCTGGAATCTTCGGGCGCAGCCAGGAACCCAGTGTGAGGACGGAACCTGGAGTCAGCGACCTTTATTACTGGCCAAGGAGAGCCGGGAAACACCCGGGTTCCCACCACGACGCTCCACCCAAGACGGTCAATGGACCACCGAGGCACGAAGGGCGGATGATTGCACCCCCCGGAAGGGCGCTGGCCCAAAATGGGTCCTGGGGTGAAGGGGTCAACGAACGCGGGGATCCCCGCCGGGGAAACAGCACCAACCGGCGCTTGCGACTGAAGAACCCCTTCTACCCGTTGACCCAGGAGTCTTACGGAGCCTATGCAGTCATGTGTTTGTCGGTGGTGATCTTTGGAACCGGCATCATTGGCAACCTGGCGGTGATGTGCATCGTGTGTCATAACTACTACATGCGGAGCATCTCCAACTCCCTTTTGGCCAACCTGGCCTTCTGGGACTTTCTTATCATCTTCTTCTGCCTTCCATTAGTCATCTTTCACGAGCTGACGAAGAAGTGGCTGCTGGAAGACTTCTCCTGCAAGATTGTTCCATACATTGAGGTAATGTTTTCCAGGGGGATCTCAAGCTACTGGCTTTACCCATTTCTGGGATTTATAGTATTAGAACTGGCTGCTGAACCCCTTTGATCCCCTTCACTTTTTCTGTGGGTCCCTCCTTCATTTCTCTTGCCAATTATGTCTGTCTGTCTGTCTGTCTATCTCTCTGTCTATGTATCTATCTTTCAAGAGGGGTAGCTTTGTTCACTCACCTTCAAACTCACCTGCTCCAGATTGTGCAATAATTATGATCTCATAATGTGTAGAATTATTTAGATTTTAAATTTATCTCTCTGAATATAGTGTCACATATATTTCTGATTGGCAGCCAGCAGAGATGCTACAGTTAATAAATGGTCAGTGTATGGTTGTCATTATCAGAACCCAGCAAGAAAAAAAACCTGTATCATTGGTCTACTAGATTTCCAGGTTCCAACATGATTTTTTATTTTTACAAGAAGGTTATTGCATTTTATCTTAAATATTAAAATAGGAGTAATATTTTATTTAACAAAGGAAATCTGCCTTTCTTTGTTTGTCAGTTGGCCTCATGATATATTAATAACCTCCTAAATTAGTTTAAGTGTCTTTGGCTGTCTGCCATGTGGTGCCATCTGAATTCTCATGCCACTTCTCGTTTCTTTCTGTTGCCTTTTCAATTCCTCAGCAATTTTATTATTTTGTATGAATGAGCTTAAGCAAAAATAACACTTTGGCCATCATAGAACAGAATTTATTTAACATTCTCAAAGTATGTAATATATGTTTGCCATTTGTATAAGGGATTGGCTATCATAAGGGATTGACTCTAAAACTAGAAAATTTCTTAAGAAGAAGGGCATATAATAGGTTCTAAACTTTGAAAACAAAAATCTTTCTGATATAATTTGACTGTTTCCTCTTACAGCTAGTGTCCTGCACTATTATTACGGCACTTGGAATTTGCTCTTTAAATGGCCTCTCTTTAAACACCAGCTCTTGGAAGGAGCCCAAGTGCTTTGTTGCCAGTTGTGTTTTTAGCCAGCTGGCCCTTGATTTCCTCCATTCATACTGCTGGTTTCATTTATGGAAGCAGAAGAAGGGGAACTGTAAATATTTCAGAGCCCCTGATCCTGTCTGGCACCAGGGCCAGTGACACTATGTTCAACATTGTTCCAGGGCCTAAAGCTAGGGGGTAAGTCAACAGAAACAGTACCTACTTAGAAAGACCAAGGCAAGAGATAGTAAATAAGAAGCTCTGCTGTCCTGGCAGGGATTAGATACAGAATCATTCCGTGCCTACTAAATCAGCTGTTGTTACTTTACCAGGATCCAAAATTTCTCTTGTTGCCAAGCTCCAAGTAACTCTGACATATCTAACTTATTTGGTAGACAATTCAATTTTGAATTTCAGAGGAGGTAGTTGAATTATGCTAGAGAATATATGTCCACCAATTGCTTTAAAACTTCTTTGATTGTTTGAATAATGCCAAGTAAATTGACATGTGTAAAGCAGATGCAAAAGTAAACTATAAAGTAAACAGGAGAGCTACCCCAATAAGAGGGGCATGTATTGAATTGTATTCAATGTATTGGACACATAGAAACTTTTATCATTAGAGAAAAAAGCAATAAAGAAGACATAAAAATAAACTGGTAAAAGAAAAAAATATTACCAAAGTTCTTGAAAAAAACTTTAAAAGAAAGGTTTTCATCCAAATTTAGAAAAAAAATTTTTATTTTTTTATCCTCACTCGAGGACATTTTTCCATTTTTTGTTCAGGTAGAATGGGAGGGAGAGAGAGGAACACAGAGAGAGAGAGAAACATTGATGTGAAAGGGACACATCAAGTGGCTGCCACCCGCACAACCAACCAGGGCCGGGGACAAACTGCAACCGAGGTATGTGCCCTTAGCGGGAACCGAGCCCGGGACTCTCTGGACCGCAAGCCGACGTTCTAACCGCTGAGCAAAACCGGCCAGGCCCAAAAAAATTTTTTTTGGTTAGTTAAATGAGACCTATAAGTTGTGAGTGATGGTATTTGTAATGTTTGGGTTTTAATTTTAATCCTAATTCTAAGGAGTTTTAAAAAGTCTATACTGTGTTTTCATTTGTATTTCATCTTCCAACTTAATTCTCTGCTCCTTAAGAATATTTTGCTTTTTACCTCTTAGTATTATCATGTTTATTTTTTGCTCTCTGTATTTTTTCCTTATTTGTAGACCTGCTTTTTTTTTTTTTTAGTTATTGGTACCAGGCTTTATTTTCCCTAGAGAAGCAAAGATTTGGAAAAAAAAAAAAAAAAAAAGACTTGCTCATTTTTTTTCTTGAAAAATTAGACTTATAATATATATTTTTACTGTTAAACTAATGAATGAAAATCTTAAATCTAAAATGTAGACTGTGTTTCTACATTCCTACCTAGTTTTATTCTTGTGAAATAATTTTGTGTTTTATCATGCTTTGTGAAAATATTTATTGGACAATACTAACAGCTTCATAATTCCTGATTATGACAATGAGAAGTATAGTCCACATCTCAAAATAAAGCATTTCTACCTCCAGCAGGCACTATTATTTTCACAGATGTCACAGAGATTTATTTAGTGACTGTTAGGTTCCCCCCAAAACAGACCCTAATGTGGAGATTTGCTGTAGTAGGTTTATTCGGATATGTACTCATCCTCAACACCTACTAGGGAATGAAGCATGCAGGACTTGGCAGAAGGAGTTGAACTGGGATGCAGATGCCACACTGGGAGCCGTAAGATGGGGGTGGCCCTGCAAAGATACCCTGAATTGAGGCATGAGAGCCCAGACTTTATGTCCCCTAGTGGACCAATCACTGGATGCAAGTGGCTCCCAGAAAGGGGGCATAACCTTGAGCTGAGTGGATTTCTTTGGTCAACAGCAATTTCTAGAGTAAGATGCAGTTAAGAGCTGTCAACCACCAACAGTACTAATGTTTGGGGCAATCAGCACTTCATTCCTGACAGAAGGACTTTTGTGGGACCCAAATCTGGCTGGAGAACCAGTCTCCACTACGGTAGCTTTTGAAGTATCGTGTTAAATTAAAATTAGATGGCACGTTAATCCAACCCCTTGATTTTAAAGATGAAACTTGAGGCTCAGAGAAGAGAAATGACCATTCTAAGTATATTTACCTAGCCAATGGCAATCAGACTTCGTTTTCAACACTTGATATTGATGTTTACTTATTATACAAACATCTATAGGGCAAAGGGGATTCATTGAGTATCTTCTTTTTATTTACATCCCTTGGCATCTTAAAAAAAAACTCTAAACCCAATAGAGAGTAATAAAATAATAAGCATCAATTGGTATGTGATGACATTTATAGCTTCTTATGTTCTTAAGTTTCACCTTGTTTCGCATAAATTGACAGTAAGTTCCACAGTTGGTAGTTCATTACATTTTTAAAAATTGCAATAATCTGAGACAACTTCACTTTTTAAAGTGCCAAACATAATTTAATGATCAAATAAAGTTATTTTATGTTCTTAAAAATCACAGAGTGTTTTAGATTAGTGAAGAACATTGCATTTTCAAACAAATTAGAGGTGAATAAACAAAATCTGCCTCTTTCCAATCATTTTCCTCTTGAGCACAAGACTTTTAAAAATTATTTGAGATTTTTTCTCTTTTTATTAGCAACATTTTGCCTTTACTTTTTTAATATTTATTTTATTTGCTGGCTAATCTTCCTCTTTTCTTCTTTTTACCACACACCTTCTTATTGATTTATAATGTATGATTTACCAGTTTTTGTAATGTGTTTTGCTGTTTTCAATGTTTCTATTTTTAATACTTCTTAGTTATTTAAAAATTTTATCCACAATTAAATTTTTTTTTATTTTTACTTTCATTGAGGTATAATTGATATATAACATAATATTAGTTTTAGGTGTACAACATAATGATTTCATATTTGTATACGTTGTGAAATAATCACAACAGGTCTAGTTAATATCTCTCACCTTACATAGTTATAGATTTTTTTCTTGCGATGAGAACTTTTAAGATATACTTTCATAGCAGCTTTCAAATATGTGATACAGTATTACTTCCTATTGTTACCATGCTGTACATTATATTCATGACTCATTTATTTTATAACTGGAAGTTAGAACCTTTTGACCCCCTTCAGCCATCTCTTCCACCCCAGCCCCCATTCCTGCCTCTGGCAATCTTCAGATCTTTAATTGGTTTGGTTCGCTGTATTCATTAGCTTGGTATTTTTAATTTTGTTTGTTTGTTTTGTTTAGATAGCACATATAAGTGAGATCATGTAGTATTTGTCTTTCTGTCTGATTGATTTCACTTAGCATAATGCCCTCAAGACCCATCCATGTTGCATATGAAAGATTTTATTCTTATTTATGGCTGAATAATATTCCATTGTATATATGTACCACATCTTCTTTATTTACTCATCTGTCGATGGGCACTTATGTTGTTTCCATATCTTGGCTATTGTAATTAATGCTGCAATAAACATGAGGGTGCATACATCTTTTCAAGTTAATGCTTTTGTTTTCTTTAGATAATTTTCCAGAAATGAAATTGCTAGATCATATGGTAGTTCTATTTTGAAAAATTTGAGAAACCTCCATACTGTTTTCCATGGAAACCACAATTCATTTTTATTGATCTTTACAAATCTTCTCATTTGCGTTCTTTTTCTTTTTTTACCACAATTCTTTTTTCTTCTACAACTTGAGTATTATCATAATCTAAAGAGATAATGGAATTTGGGATAGAGTTGGTTTTGTATAGAAAAGTAGGAGACATTGCTTCACCATAAATTATAGATCTTGCAATTTGCATTCAACTCTTCTTTTTAGTTCGAGTTGTTGATGTAAGGCCTGAGGAGAGTACCCAGCTTCCAGATCTATCACTAGAAAGGGGTTTTATAATATTTGATATTGCTTTGAGTGGAAATGCACTGGAAACTGTTGTAGTTAATGACTTATTTCTTTTTATTCCAGAATTATGATGCCTT